TGTTTTCATTCTAAACATACTGGAATCATGATCTCATTCAAAACATACTGGAATCATGTTCTCATCCTAAACATACTGGAATCATGTTTTCATTCCAGACATACTGGAATCATGTTTTCATTCTTAACATACTGGAATCATGTTTTCATTCTAAACATACTGAAATCATGTTTTCATTCTAACATATTGGAATCACACTTTAATCCGTAACATACTGGAATCATGTTTTCATTCTGAACATACTGGAATCATGTTTTCATTCTAAACATGCTGGAATCATGTTTTCATTCTAAACATACTGGAATCATGTTTTATTCTAAACATACTGGAATCATGTTTTCATTCTAAACATACTGGAATCATGTTTTCATTCTAAACATACTGGAATCATGTTTTCATTCTTAACGTACTGGAATCATGTTTTCATTCTAAACATACTGGAATCATGTTTTCATTCTAAACATACTGGAATCATGTTTTCATTCTAAACATACTGGAATCATGATTTCATTGTAAACATACTGGAATCATGTTTTCATCCTGAACATATTAGAATCATGTTTCATTCTTAACATACTGGAATCGTGTTTTCATCCTGAACATACTGGAATCGTGTTTTTATTCTAAACATACTGGAGTCCTGTTTTTATTCTAAACTTACTGGAATCATGTTTTCATTCTAAACATACTGGAATCATGTTTAAACATACTGGAATCATGTTTTCATTCCAAACATGCTGGAATCATGTTTTCATTCTAAACATACAGGAATCATGCTTTCATTCTTAACATACTGGAATCATGTTTTCATCCTGAACATACTGGAAACATGTTTTCATCCTGAACATACTGGAATCATGTTTCCTTTCTAAACATACTGGAATCATGTTTTCATCTTGGACAAACTTATTTATTCATTTATTCAATACACAGTCCAACGGGCAAATCCATTAACAGAAGTGGGAAAAAATAAACAATACATAAAGAAAACACAAACAAATACAAGATATAAGCAAAGATACTGTTTTCATTCTAATCATACTGGAATCACGCTTTCATCCTTAATATACTGAAATCATGATTTCATTGTAAACATACTGGAATCATGTTTTCATCCTGAACATACTGGAATCATGTTTTCAATCTAAACATACTGGAATCATGTTTTCATTCTTAACGTACTGGAATCATGTTTTCATTCTAAACATACTGGAATCATGTTTTCATTCTAAACATACTGGAATCACGCTTTCATCCTTAATATACTGAAATCATGATTTCATTGTAAACATACTGGAATCATGTTTTCATCCTGAACATACTGGAATCATGTTTTCAATCTAAACATACTGGAATCATGTTTTCATTCTTAACGTACTGGAATCATGTTTTCATTCTAAACATACTGGAATCATGTTTTCATTCTAAACATACTGGAATCACGCTTTCATCCTTAATATACTGAAATCATGATTTCATTCTAAACATACTGGAATCATGTTTTCATCCTTAATATACTGAAATCATGATTTCATCCTTAACATACTGGAATCATGTTTTCATCCTGAACATACTGGAATCATGTTTTATTCTAAATGTGCTTCACAATGAAATTGCTTAATTTTTCTTTTTTATATTACTTTTTACTTCTTTAAAGATAAAAATAATAATACTAAATGTGTTTTTCCCCATCAAAATTTTGAAAAAAACACTGATTATATGGTTGGCTTGACAGTACCTAGATAAATGTTTCATAAGCTGTACTTACAAAAAACACAGCACCTCCACCCCCACCTGATGGCACAGAATTCTTAAATAAATTCTTCTTTGCAATAAGAATACCTGGCGTTTGAACACCACCAACAAACTTATGCGGAGAGAGAAATATTGCATCCTTATAAACAAGGGACTGGTCACAGCTGAAAATCATAACATATAATAAATAATATATAAAAATAGTATAAATACAATTAAAGCAAATTTATTGACAATCGTTAAATTGAGTAGCAGTACTGAATTTCTGCTGCATGGATTTTCTGTCAAGTTTGACTGCTGAAGTTTTACAGCACCAATGACAAATCACTTTACTCTGGAATCAATATTTAAAAAAAAAATACTTTCATATTATGTCGTAGAATTTTCAGCCCTCACCATGGTGATCTGCATCTTTTTCAAAGTGACAGTGGGTGAATATAGGGTGCTGCCAATCTGAATATGTTGATTTTCCAAACAAATGGATGACAGTTATACCCCCGCCCCCGATACCCCCCTATCAACTGACAGTTGCTACAAAGACAAAAGTGCTATGGTCCTTTCCTTTGTGGCGTTTGAATAGATTTATATGGTTAATCAGCAATATCACGGCAGCAATTTCTGACCAGTATAGAGAGGATCGCAAAATATGAAGATAACCAGGCTAGAAACTGTATTGATTAATCCTAATTTCGTTATGGCAACCATTATTTTCCATAATTCAAAATTCCACAGGAGACCTGTAACACAATCACTGTTACAGTATATATAGCCATTGAAAAATATGATGATCACAACTTGTTCTTTTCATTTCAATCTCATTTTGTGCCTTTTACTTTCCCCATGCAGTGATTTGCTACGTATTTATTATACATTCTTGGTACATTTTTCAGTAATCTTTATTTAGTAGTAAGTTCATTGGAGCGTTTCCAACAAAACAACTTTTGAATACACCTTTCCTGTAAACAGCGCCCTCTAGCGCTGAAGCATGTCTGTAACAAAAGTGAGTAAAAAGAAGGCTATTCACAGCATTGATATTATTTCGTGATCTGTCATAAAAAAATTAATAATTTTAAAAAACTTAGTACTTATATTCAAAATAACACATTCAAACATGTTTTGAATTACATTAATTATATTACTTAAAACCATCCATGTCGTTTTCGCATCACATAATCATTTTGTCACTAGAGGGCGCTAAAACAGTGTATAGTAGTTATATTATCATTACCTTATTGCGACAGGATTCATATCAATGTTGACGTATGGACCTGATAAAATTAATTCAAATATAAAGTCACAATTATTAATTATTTAAGAACAGAGGTTTCTAATCTGGTAAAATGCTCTGATGCGTTTCCATGGGAATCAAGCGTGTCAAGTCACACGTTTTCTATCATTTAAGCAAAGATGTAATGGATGATAAAATCTATTCGTTTAAACTTGAAATTGATGCTAGTTTTGGATACAGGAACACTGATTTATCCTAAATATATATCCAGAATTGAACATCAATGCAATGGCGCTGACCAATGGATCATATAGGGAAGATAACTTAAAACTTTGGTTAATGTGATCATAGTTGTTGTAACTGCAGACACATGTGTATAGTTGAGGTTCACAAACAAATGTTTACATAATGATAGTAGCCATTTTTTTTTTTTTTAAAGTTTTTTTTTTTTTAAATGTTTTCGTGCCAGGCAACAGTTCCGACCATTGAATGTCACTGTTGTCTCTTCTGACTTTAGTGCTGACACATAGATAGTAGCCAATTAAAAGGATTTGCTAAAAGCCATTTTCGCATTTACAGGCAAGCTACTAAATTACGATTTTTTTCAAAATTACATATCTGGGTTTTACACACCAATAGTTATTAGTTTTTTGTGTTGATAAATAGCCATAGTTACAATCATTAGAAATGTTTATGTTTTTAACTGCAAGTAGTGTGTAACATAAATATACAAAACAATCAAAGAAAAGAAGAGACAGAACAGACTGTGTATATGCATAACTCTGATGACTATGGCACTTTAAAATCAACAGATGCTTGTCAACCAGGCCTGGTTGATGTAGAGAAAGTGACTTAATTTGCCGTGAGTTCTCCTATCTGTGGCAAAATACCTTGTATGCACCAGTGTTGTTTTCTCAATTGGCAAAAATCAACAGTCTTTGGTAGATAATAATTTCAAACTTCAAAGTTTGAAAACCGAATGTTGTACCTTCAGGAAAGTGTATGAATCATGAAACACATGCATTTTCATATGTATCCTAACATTTCTAAGGTGTGTATGAAATTTGAACAAAGTCCATCAATGCATGAATCCCCAAGATCAAATTCCAAAATGGCAGAAATAGTGGAATTTTTTTGTTGTCAGCTAGACAGACGTTTATGGATTGAGCTCAACCCACTTATCGCAGTTTCCTGAGTTCGTCCAAATGTTTGACAGTCATTTGTCAGAAAAAATTGATACTTATCAATATAAAATCTTGTCATACCTGCTGTTGCATAATCCCAGAATGCTAACGCTCCATACTTGTGTAGACATATGGTTATTGCAATGGTGTCTGATAAGATGCCTGTTATGTTGGAAGCAGCAGCAAAGCAACCAATCAACTGTCTGCTTGAATCATTCCATTTCTGTGAGGAGAATATTTAAAAAAATATTTTAGTGTTAATTTTTTTCTAAAATTTAAAATGAGCGATACATGATTTTTATAATCCATCGATATGAAAAAGTTAATCTTCTCACCACCAGTTCCATCTTTTCATCACAAATTCACAAAATGGTCCTGTTTATAGTATGAACTGTCCTTCAGATGATTAGGACAAAAATAGCAAATTTTTTTGAGTAAAAAACGAATATTGACTTAAATTTAGTCTGTTGGTTCTAAAATTAGGGTTTGTTCCTAGAAATATTGAAAAATATAAGAAAAAACAACAGAGAAATTTTGGCAAGAAGTTTAGTGTTGAAAAGGTTAAATAATGAAATATACATAATTGAAAAACTTGCAAGAGAAAGAAGCTAGATATTATCAATTTAGCAAAACCATAAAATTAATTACTTAAGTTATCAACAAAGCAAATACATTTTACATATTAAATAAGTTAGTTTTCATAGCAATTTATAAATGTAGAATTCTAAAAATTAAAAAATGGCAGTTAGAAAGTGATACCAGTTGACTAATCAAGCAACAGTAATGTGACATCAGAATAATTGTAAATTAATATTAATGAGGTAGTTGAGCATCAGCCAATAAGAAAGTGCTGCATTTGAATAAATTAGCAGTAGCATACTGGTACACACAATGCACAGGTAGCATATCAGACTATCATAAAGTCACATACCTTTAAATTCTCCTCAAGGCATTTCATATCAACTATTCCATTAGATGTTTCACTTATGCGTATAACCTATAACAGAAATAGTATATTCAGTAAATCCATAGCTAAGATTTTTCATATCTTTGTTATCCAAAAATGACTAGCTAGAGTTGTTTCACATGTTTTAGCAGCAAACCATATTTCTGATTACCAATATCACTGCTGACCACACTGCGATAAAATCTAGTGATTTTTTTTTGTACCAGGCATCAGTTTTTGAACGCCATTGTTGACTTTCTTGACTTTTCTTTAAATTGCACGTTTTGAGGATACATATAGAGCATTACCACAGAAACTTTTGAAACTGTTTCTTGGTTGGAACTACCGACATGTACATAAACTGTGTTACTACTCTCTTATCATAATGGCATTGTAACAATTTAATGCACTACACCAGCATTAACGAATCCTGCTCAAATGCAAGCACCCAAGTTGCATTGTTTGGTGAATGAAGTGGCGTATTTTGACCTCTCACACTGGGTATTTTGGTATTCAACCCAGGGTACAGTCTGGTGCAAAAAGCTTTTTGAACCGTTGAAATGAAGTGAAGTAAAAATATTTGCAGTACATACCTCAGCACCCAGTTCTCTCCAAGGCAAAATATTAGAATGGTGTTCATATGGACCAATAAACACAACCTAAAATAACCATTAGAGATGAGATTACCATAGATCATGACATGTATATGACTAAGCACATCATTTCTTTCAAGCATTCAACATAGCCAAACTACTGAACTAGGTTTGCATTTTGAGCATTTTTGTGAAAGCACAGTACCGGTAACTAATACAAACCATCTCTTTATAATCCTTGTCTGCTAAATTTTTATATTCAGAGTGTAATTTTCTTTGAAAACAATTTACAGTAAAATTTCTATATCAAAGCTTTTGTATGGTCGACAGGGCTCATATACTTTAGACACAGACATTTTGCTGACTAATATGATAGCCTTCATATACAACCAAAATGATTGGTATCCACAGGTGACCAAACTACATGTAGATTTTGAAATACAAATTTCAAGACGCCTTTCTTATAAGTGACACCCTCAAGCGATGTAAATATGTGAACCAATTGTTGTACACAATTTCAAAATGGCCACTACGGGGAAATCACAAAGTCATTGTATCTATGGAAACAAGTTTATTTACTTGTTTTTTACAATTATTTAATGGTTATTTCACAAACACAAAAATATTGTGCATATGAGGTTGTTTTTAATTTTCACTATTTTGGGTCAGCCTCATCCATACTTACATATTACAAAATTTCTAAGAAAATTCAAGTTATCCTTTTTTTTAAATTGTGATAATAACAAGCATAAACATTCATATCATTGTCATGAAACAAGGGCATTCAAAACTCAAGATGTTGAGTTTAATCTAATTCTAAACCTTGTTTTTGGATGTCATACACAAGAAATAAAATTAATTTAATTAAGTGTCATCACATACCGGTGGTTGTTGCAAATCAAGAGCATTTATTAATTTATGTATGGCTGCAGTACATCCACTTCCAACAAATATAACTGCATCATGTTCACTGGCATTGACTGCATTGCGGACGATGTCCCTGTGAAACCAAACAAATCAAGCAAAAAATTATTCCCAGGTGCCATGCATACTAGACATAAAAATGTGAAATTTGATGCTGACAATTAGTGATATGTACAGTGCTTAGTTATCTGTGTTAAAACTTTTTTTTCTAAGTAAGAATTTTAATGAAATTTCTGGGAAACAATCTTTGGTAATCAAAACAAGCAGCCTATCGGCTGAGATAGCTCCGCTGTTAGCAATGCACATTTCAATTAAAGAACTGAAGATATCATTAGAAAATGAACAATATGTATAGTATCAAAGCAAAGGACCTTGCTGTTTTCAACAAGAAGTTGAAAATATCACTTTTTACCAAAAATGACAAAAATATTCACCAAAATTAGAGAATTAAAGATATCATTACAAAATGAACAAATCTGAGACAGGTCCACTTGTAGTACCTATGTATGTAATATCAAAGCAATTGGACTTGCGGTTTTTAACAAGAAGTTGAAAATATCACTTTTTACCAAAAATGACAAAAATATTTACCAAAATTAGAGAATTGACGATATCATTACAAAATGAACAAATCTGAAAGAGGTCCACATGTAGTACCTATATATGTAATATCAAAGCAATTGAACTTGCAGATTTTAACAAGAAGTCGAAAATATCACTTTTTACTAAAAATGACAAAAATATTCACCAAAATTAGAGAACTAAAGATATCACTACAAAATGAACAAATCTGAGAGAGGTCTTCACAAGGTACATATACACCAAGTATCAAAGCATTCAGGCTTGTAGTTTTCAAGAAGAAGTCAAAAAAGTAAAACATTGACACGGACGACGGACGACGGACAATCACTCATATGATAAGCTCCGCTCGACAAAGTCGACAGCGGAGCTAAAAAAGTATGAAACTTATTTTCATGAGTGATGCATAGTAACCTGCAATGCGAAGTGGGAAAAAAAAATTTTTCACAGCTAAACATGTACATTTTTAGGTTGGATTTTACAGACAGGTTACTGTAAAAATGAATTGAGTGTTCATCTGTGATACACCAACTGATTGGTGAACGACACTAGAGATCGTTGTGATTCACCAAGCGACTTACCTTGCCTCATGCCGGTACAGCGTTGTTTGGAGTGATGTCACTGTTGTTGTTGTGTGAGTATTACCATACACAGGAAGCACTTGACTGTTGATATAATCTTCAATAAACTTTAATGACCTAAATAAAGTTTTTTTAAATGGGTTAGATTCTTCAACAAGGTCACACAAAAAACAAGTCATTGTTAATGACACAGTCCCTGTTGCAATTAGAGGAGATGTCATTCATGCCTAAAATAAAGTAATATTGCAAAAAACGTGATGGCTGCAAGTCTGTCATGTTCTATCGGCTCAAACTTCAATTGTTATGGATAGGTATTGAATATGAAAATCAAGTCACTCAAATTGGATATGCAAAGCACTGGTCATGTGTAGTGCATGGTCAGTAATTGAAGGTGAATAATAGACTAATGTACTATCAACACGAATTAGATTTATTAAAATAACTTATAAATTTAAAATTTAATATGAGGACACAAAGTTTATATTTGTAATTTCTATTTCTCAAATTTATGCAAAGTTTTGTATCCAGTCCCCAGCTTGTGCCAGCTTATTTGTTACGGTATTACCCAATAAAGGAACTCTTCCTAACAATGGTAGGAATTTAAGGCACTTCACAATTTAATGAGAATGAAGTGTAAACCAAACATAAACATGTATTAAAGTGAGTAACATACAATGCGCCGGTAGTATTGAGTATATACAACTTGAGGTGTCACACCCACAGTCATAATCCGTTGTATGATCTAAACGCATAATCTCAGGAGGAAATCTTGCCATTCATTCATTCATTCATTTGCAAGCAGACTCACTCATGTTACGTTTTTTTTTTACATTTATCGCGACAATTAGTATGAAATACCAGTTTTACAGCAAACGTCATAACTGATATGAACTGTGGTTATGTGATAACTGTATACACAGCCCATACATACTTGTATAAAATAAATAAATCTTAAAATCTGAACTCACCTGCCTGATGCTATATAATCACAGTATATCACTAATGGAAGAAGAAACATAAATTAGAAAAGTGCAAACAAATGTATTATTATGGAGTGCTAAGTGTGAATTGAAGCTTGTAAACCAGACAGCGACTGCTTGCTACATACTGCATCCCATCTTGCTTGCGAGCTGAAGCGTAAAATTCCTGCAGCAAGTCGGCAAGCTCAACAACAGGAAGGTCTTCCAAATTGGTGGCGCATGCCCCTTGTTTTCAAGCCATTCTAGGAAGAAAACATTTAGTCTGCTGTGAAGTATTTTTTTTGAGCATATTTAACTGGGATTTGTCGACATAGATAAAATGGACCATCATGTTTGCCTTTGGTGAGCTACGTTTATTTACACGTTGGGCGGCGATACCGAGTGTTTCTCGCGAAGTTGGGATTGGCCAGACAACAATTTGTGTTTGTTGTTATGGGAATGGCATTTTTCATGTAAATTAAAAACAAATATAGCTCAGAGTTATTAATTTTCAGTTTTGATTTTAATCGTTTTCAACCCACAATTTCCTTCATTATGTCTGTATCTTTATTTGTTTTCCAAACTCAACATTATTTTCATATGCATGGTATGGGGCCTTGATGCTCAATAAAGCAATACATTATCGCGAATAATCTGTGGCAATAACGTCATAAAATTTGCTGGTATTGACAATGCTATAATTGTGAATAATAACTTTGCCGATGTAAATGTATGAATAGATAAGATAAAAGTTGATTTATATCTAAGCTCTGTAAGATTACTCGCTTATCAGCCATACCATAGACCTTCAAAATACATGTATTTTTAAAGGGTATGCCCACACTAACATGTAGATCATGTACACCAGGCCATGTAGTCATGGTGATCGTCAAATATTCAATGTCCCCAGTACAGCCCAACACTATTACATGTACATATTGTCATGGTTACAGTAGCCTCTACTGCTCCTAATAATACTGTTTATCGTCAATCTGCACAGAGATATATCAGTAATACAGACATGATGTGCGTACCTTTGCGTCTTCCGTACGGTCCAGAAAACGTGGTTTCTCTGCCGATCACACTTTCGTCGATATACTGGAAGAATTTAACATCGTCACGTTTTTTATTTGATTTCCGGTCATGGGCACTGTGTTCATCGAGCTGCTCCGGTATATTGTAGAACTTGCGGTCGCCATGCTGTCGAGATCTTGGAGAGAAATCCTCCAGATCTTCACCCGGTGATTCCGTCACGGAAGCCGCCATGTTCACCTGAAAACGAGGCGGGGATGCCTCTTTCTCATCACGTGATCTTTTCATCGCTCATCAATTACGGTTGAATATATAAACTGTGAGACGCGGAGCTGCATGGGACATGAGCAGAAATTGTCTACATCTAACAGGTTTGTACAATTTTTTTGTATTAATGCGTTTTTACTGAAAATGTATTAGATGCCACGAGTCCCGTGTGGAGTCAAGTCTACAGTCACGCCCATCTTTCACGGTGTTGGAATTCCCTCGAAACTGGTATTAATTTGTTCGATTGGGTGCCCCGAGTGTTCGCCTGGGGATCTCATTCTTACGAAGTTTCTAGATCCAGATTATTATTTTCGGTCGAGCCGAGAGATTATGACTGCTGGATTGTGTTCGAACACTGATGCTCGTATTGACGTGTGTACTATATAAATTCGCTGATGATCATAATTCAACATGAAGTTTCTGCCAAAATATTATTCACCGATTCAGCCGAGTACTTCCCT